AGTATCTGCCTTGTCTAGAACCCCCTTTTCTGGCTAAATAATCAGCCACCATGTTCCCCTTTCTAAATGTGTGAATCAGTGTACAAGTCAAAATTACTCAACCTCCTAGAGATTCAAGTAATTAGGTCCCTTAGTTTCCACGGAGTACTTATTTTCCCAGAAATCATGTCTAGTATTACTTGTGAGTGTGACTCAACTATGAGTGGATAGACAAGTAAACCAAATTCTTCCAATAAGATCAAGCCATCCATCATAGCTCTTCCTTCTGCTTCCAGATTTGAACCATGCCCATAATAAAATGAACCTGCAACCACCAGTTGTCCCCTCTGATTTCGCAGAACTGTCCCTCCTCCTGCCTCAACTATGAGTGGCGACTTACTAGTTAAGTTTGGTGCAACTTCATACAAGTGAATGCCTGCTCAATCCATGTTTCCAACCCGTTAACCCACAAGGCAAAAAAATTTCGACTAAAAAATGAAACTAGGCAGCTTTGATCTGACTTTTTTGGAATGACTAGTTGGAGACTTGACAAGATAGGCAAAGGTGGTGCATCCTTGAAGTTATTTTTTCTGTACTCACTTCGACCATTGTCTGTTTGTGACATATTCTAAGACTCTAATCTTTTGATTAAACAATGATGGTTATCTGAGTATTGCTTGTTTTGTAGGAATCGTGCTTTACAAATGGGTGTTGTTAGCGTGAGTGGTGATTCATATTTATATTGCTTTCTTTGTGGGTTATGATCATGCCACTTTTAATAGTGTATGATTGTGAAGAGAGCTTGTACCTCATATTGAAAGATCGGGGTTGTCAAGGTTTGTTTATATTGTTGAAGGACCTTTTTTTTTTTTTTTTTTTGGGAAAAGGGACTTGAATCCTTGATCTCAAGAAGGCAAAACTTTAATAAGGTAATGAGTACCATTGGACCAAAAGCCTGTTGGTAATATTGTTGAAGTACCTCTCCATTCGTTGCCAATTGCTTTTGTGTTGGATGCTACGTGTAAGCTTGCCCTTCACGTTGAGGAGAGTTTGAAGAGAGCTTGTATCTCCATTGAAAGGTTAACGCCATCTAAGATTGGTTAATATTGTTGGAGGGTCTTTCCACCTATTACAAATTGGTATGGGTTGGTTGTCTGTGACAATGATCATGACATCTTCGTGACAATGTTTAAAAAGTAGCCTGTAATCTGGTAGTGGGAACGTAATTTGCGAGTATACCTTGGAAATTATGTTGAACTGGCCATCGGTTATTGCTGCGAGCTTTACGGAACTCAATTATGGTGCCATGGCTCCCCTTCTTAGCACACAATTTGGTATTATAGATTATGTTTGGTAGTATATATATTCACATCTATATTTGACCAAATATTTGAAGAGGTTTTAGTTCAGATCTTTGTTATAAGGAATGTTGGAGTTTCCTGATTTGTAAAATATTTCTTAGATAGGATTAAAAAAAGTATGCTGAACAGAGACAAGTTAGTTTAATACTTATGTATTTAAATATAGGAAGACATTTAAAGTTGTACTTACTATTGGTTTGTTAAATTAGTAAGTCATACATTGAAAAAGTGAGTGTGTTATTGTGCACGATTGAGATTTCAAACACGTTATTGAGATTGAATTTGGATTTCCACCAACTGCCAAGTAGGTCAATAATAGAAGTTGGCCACTAACTTAGGAGACTAATGAATGGTAATAGGGGAAAAAGATTTCCATATGGTTATACAGTTTGGAGAAGACAAATGAGAAAGTCCAGTCTCTACATACATGATACGGTGGGTGTTAAATATATAGAGTTATGCAAGTATATTTATACATGGAAGGACATGTATGAGCGAGTTGTGACTACCTTAAGAGCAATTGTAGAAGTTCGTGAATTTAAAAGCGCTGTAGAGATCAGTTCTGCATCTTTATCATTTTGCCTTGGTGGTTATACATGGAGAGGGCGAGCTAGATGAATTAAGTATAGGAGTATATTTAGTGTATTATCTCCTCAGTTGAAAGGGAATGTACAATAATAGCCCAGCTATGTTTTACGAGATTGTGCATGGGGAACTAAGGAATAACACGTTCACAAAAAAGAAACGTGGTTATGATGGACGGTTGGTGAAAAAAGAAAGAACAAAATCAGTTCTAATTCATAGGAGATTGATTGAGACAGTCTGGATATGTTCAAAGAAGACCTATAGCTAGATGTGATGTGATATTAACTGTATTTCATGGGGTGGAGGAAGACTAAAATTAACATAGAGGAAGATAATTGAAAAAGGATATGATAGATTGCTGTTAAATGAAAAATAGGAACAAAGATCTAGTAGTATGGCAGGATAGGATTCATTTAGTCCACTCCAAGTGGTTGGGACAAAGATTTGGTGAGGTGAGTTCCTATTGATAAATTTACTCTTATTATTGTACCGTCTTCTATGCTTGAAATTGTCTTAGCTCATTGTATATTTCTCATATTGCAGGCCTTGGTTGACTGTCTCACTTTCACTTAGATGGAATTAATCAATGGATTCATGTACAATATGATGATCATGATGCAGACAAAGATCAAAACTTGGTTACGGTGTATACTTTTGGTCAACTTGGGAAAGAATATTTCAAGAACGTATTGAAAATAGATGAAAACAAAGAAAACTTTGGAATTTTGATTGTAATACCCCAAATCGGGATATTTCAATTTTGAATCATTGGTTTATTTCAGTTTCCATCATTTCGTCCGAAATGAAACGAAAATTTGATCTTTCATTGTAGGTTTCCTTGAAACTTGTGGGTGGTTCGTTTGGTATTCACATTTATTACTTGTGTTGATTACATATTCCTTGGACTGGTGCCATTAACTATGCTTTGGATTTCGTTTCAGTTTTTGATCTATCATCCCAATATCTATTAGTGGCCTTACTTTATAGATCTATATATAACATATTGGTTTACTGAAGCCTGAAGGTGTGATGATGTGTGAGTTCTGGATGCTACCACCATTTTTCTCAAATTCTAGGACTTTATAAGTAGTTTACATTTGACATGTGATTCTGAGCTCAAATGCATTGTGCATATTGTGGTAGTTAATCTGGTTTGTGTTCAGTAAACTACAATTTAAGTTAGCTATTGACAATGTCCCCTGTGAAATGATGGCTTTCAGTGTGCATGGAGAGAAGATATTTGTTGGTTTAGATCTTGACTCCTTATTGTCATGTGTTTGTACAATGTTATACTGGGGATTTTTCTGATAATTTTTGCAAATGGAGGCCGATCAGCGAAAGAAACGTTTGAATTCTTCCAGTGTTGAGGATTGCACTTCAAGGGAGCAGAACAAAGCAAAAAAGCTTGGATTACAAGAATATGATTAGACATGAGATCTAATATCTGTCTTGAATGGGATGACAAGAAGAAGAGTGTTATTGCCAAGAGGGAGCAGATTAGCATTTCACGGAGAGAGTTGTTTCCATTTATTGATGCTGTTCCCCATTGCTCCAATATCTTGGCTGATGTTTTTACGGTTCCTCACGAAATTTTTGAATTGGAAAACTTAACTGAGGTTCTCTAATATGAGGTAAGATAATCTAATGGGAATGCTCAAATGCCTTGGACTTTAAAATGATGAGCATTGTATTGATATGTGAAACTTGTTATAGGTTTGGCAGGTACACTTGTCTGAAAATGAGCGAAACCTTCTTACCTCATTTCTGCCTAAAGAAGCTGAGCCACATAAAGTTGTTCAGGAATTGCTTGCAGGGGATAACTTTCACTTTGGGATCGATTCCTCAGATGGTACGTATTAATATACTAGTATGTTGAAGATACATGACCAAGTTTGCCATTTTTTTAAAAGAAAGGTGTATGACTTTTTGGTGAATACTAGTCGTTGATAATTGGTGCTATGGGTTGATCATATTTCTGGATGCCAATCTAGAAAATGATTTTATTTTTGTGATTTATGACATTATTTATGTGAGTAGTTTTCATCTGTAATGTTATCATAACTTGTTGCCGTCTCATTTCTCGCCCAATCAGACAGTGATATAAGAACAATATGCCTTGTGGTTGACTTTTTTTGCATGGAAGTACAAGATAAAACATGCAATTTGGGTAAAAATGGGCCCAGTAGTTTGTCATTGGTGGAGAAAATCACATCTGATATAAAGTAAGGGGTGCCGATAAACCAATTATCATCTGTAGTGCATCAAAAGGGAGTGAAAGGTAATGAAGTATGTTTTAGTGGATGTCTAATGGATTGCTGTGCTCAATAATGGTATTGCCATCATTTCAGTCATAGTCTTGATCCTGCAGAACCTGACTGTATAGTTTTTGCTCTCTTTCCTTTTGTTTTTGAATAGCCTAAATTGGAACTTGGAATAATTTTATTTTCAGATAGGCAGTAAATTTTTTACTGAACTAGTCAATAAAAAAGGGAAAGAATTCAGATTGTGGCAGTGTGGCTCATTGAACTTTAGATTTCACTTTGTTTTTGAATTATAAAATGCCACCTAAGAGAACTCAGGGAGCTCTGATTCAGCTGTTTGCGAGTTTCTATTCTGTTTGTGGTTCACAATATGTTAATTTCTTTTAAGTCCAAGAATGGATGCAGTGAACTTCCATGTAATATAACTTCATGATCTTGGAATAAGTTGTCCCTTTGGATGTTATATGGTTCAATGCTGAAGTTTGAGTTGGTCAATTTTTCTGGAATATATTCTTGCAGGGGTTCCTTGCTTTGTTTTGGTGATCTTCATCCTGATTATGTTCTTCGTCGAGAAAAGAATAACAAGACTAAGAAGAAGGCATACCGTTCAGAGTTACAAAAGTATCATAATGAGTATGTAACCTTGACAGCCGTATATTATTCTCCTTCATTTTAGTCCCTGTTGTTTTAATTTGTGGTTTCACTTTAAGTTGTATGGTCATTGCATCTTTTTGCTTCTTGTGACAGTATGATAAGGAGTTTACAGATGTGGAAAGGAAGATGGGAAGGCTGCAAGGATCCAGAAAATGAAATTGTGCAGAAGATCTGGAGGTTGATACTCTCTGTATGTTTTGCATTTTGGTGCTGTTGATGAGTTTGGCAGTAATTTAATATGAGTAGCACAGTCATCACAAATTTTGTTACTCGACTCCGGTGTTATATCATCATGGCTACTGCTCCTTGTCAAAAGAATATGATGCTTAATTGTGTATGTTAGGAGTGAGCCATGCCTTTTACAATTTTAACCTGAACTGGGGAATTTTCTCTGTTAGTGCAAGTGGGAAACACAGAACTCTGTTAAGTGGAACTAATATATGGAAGATACTGCGCATGCTGTTTGTGCTTTCAGTGTTACTTGTGTCCTGTGCGTATATCCATACAAGATGGGTGAACCAAGAGAAGGGCTTTGTCCTTAATAAATTTACATTCGCACAAGTGTCGTGCTGTATACTTCTGTTAACTTTAAAACAGAAAATTATTGGGCTATTCTGTTTTTGCGTCACAAATAAGTTTTGCTAATTAGTTACTTTTTTTGGAAGGTTCTGATAAAAATTGTTATAGCATCCTAATAGGTATTTTTTGGGGATCAGTACTTGATTCCTTCTCTTTCTACTGTACATCTAAGTTAAGTTTTATAAGCAGGTCAAGAAAGCTTATGTTGATACGTACCCCTGCTCATCCAAATGATTTTAGACTCCGTGATCCTGATGAGAATCTTGTTACTACTTCTGAGTCTTGTTCTTGGGCTGCTGATGAGCAAGCTTGTTGTATTGATAACCCAAACCTGATGCATGGAGAACCTCAAAGTTGGTAAGGTTTTTTACCATTTGCTACGCCGATGCTTCAAGATGTGGATTTAGTTTTTTTTAAGTTTGACCAGGAATTGAGGATTAAGGGTCCAAGTATGACTTAATCATTTGAAGATGAATTTGGCTCCGGAAAAAAAAAACTAGTGTATCAGTTATGTAATATTATCAAGGTGTTTGGAACAAATTTGTTATAGAGGATGTTTTTTCTGTGTACGTGTGACTCAGTTGAATCTTCAACCTAATTTTAATTCTAGACTTATATGTATCTGCTGATGTCTTTATGTATATGCACTGACTAGGGTTACAAGGACCGATTATTTTTGAAGGCCAAGTTATTTTCAACATTTGGGTAAAGGCTGGCAGAAATTACATGTTCTATTGTTTTCACTGCTAGATGCTAACCATATGTTATTGCTGGTTTTCTGACCCTACTTTATTTATTATTTTTGCCTCTATCCTCGTGCGTGGGACGGTTGAAATTCTTATACTTTTGTCCTTTTTGAAGAGAAGAGATGTACTTTTTCAGTTGGATTGACAAAGCACTTATTGCTCGGCTCTTCAAGAGCAATGTGCTTGCATACTGTTTATCTGTTCACGTTGATACCACGGACCCATGTTTAAGCCATGCTTGCCTTGTAGCCTACCAATCATAAATGTTCTTGCTTGTAAAGATAAATTTCAGTTAGGAATTAGTATAGTGTCCCTTTGTATGGGAAACTATGCGACTGGATATGGCTTTTCCTGTTTCCCAATTCTCGCGCGAAAGTTGTTTTGAGGTACACTTTAGTTAGATGGTGGTAGTAATTGTCCAGAGCAAAGTCTGATAGCAGCAGTTGTTTTTATATCTTGACTATCCTTTTACTGCAAGTCCTTTTCTTAGTTTTTATCCCTTTGGCATCTTTCTCTACATACACACAGTGGCCCCACCTCACCCCACTACAGAAAACACACACACACAAAAAGGATACACACATTCACGCACACAGTTAATCTCACCTTTTATTTTCAGTCATTTGCGCAGGGTTTCCCTGTTAGGAGCAAAGCATTTATCATTTGATGTCTTGTTTCATTTAGTTGGATGTGTTGGGTGTCAGGATATGCAGAAAAGACATCATGGAGGGCAAATAAGATTATACGCCAGATGGGCTTGAGGTGGTCACAAGACATAGAAAAGTAGAAAGGCTACACAAGCATAATATTCAGTGCATTGATGGTGCCAAATATATGTCTTATATCAAGGTAGTTGGACAGCACATTTCCTTGAATCTGTTTTTTCATAAACATGGATTTATACTATTATAACACTGTCATAGGTGGACTTTGATATTCAAAATTTCTTTTCTTCATCTAACATCAGATTAATTTTCAACCAGGTCCATCTTGTTGCCATTTATCAAGTATAATGATTTTGACTTCGTTACTTCAGAGTTTTGTGTGTGAAAACCTTTCGCTAGGAACTAACGCAAGGTTTTAAAATCTTTTCTTTAGGATGCATAATTGATTATTGAGGACCTGATCTTGTTGATATCGAAGCAAATACAACTCGAATATTCGTTGGAGGATTTAGGCTGATCATCTGCTTGTTTTTTTTCAGGTTAGCAAGGAGCAGCATCAACTTATTAAGAGTAGCATGAAGCATTCAAATAATAGCATTCTGCCTAGGCCCCTTAATAATGTTTTGGGCAATCTCAACAGTTATCATGTACAACCCTTTGCCTCAAACTTTATCATTTGTCTATCCAGGTTGCAAGTAGCAATAAGAGACCTCCCTGCAACTTTTGCAAACTGGAGAAGAAGGCAATTAGAGAAATGGGAACTGACCAAATCTTTGGAGCAAGAAATGAAAGACAAACTAAAGTCTCTGAAGGAGGTTTGACTCTGTGCTCCTCTTTCACAGCGTTTTGTGTGTGTGAGCTAAAATGTCCGAGGATGTATTTTTAACTTTTAGGATAACCAGCAGGTCCTTATCAGCCTGTGCACTGCTTGTGAGTATGTCTATGTCTGTAGCATTAACTTCTAGTTGTAATTTGGGTGATCAGGATTCAGAGGAAGAGAACTGTCAAGATATGTTCTCAGAGGTGAAAGATGATGGGGCAGCAGAACCTGAACCTACACTTACATCTGTGGTGTGTTACTTTCCACTTGTTTCTTGTTTGTTAGTATGAGAATGGGTACAGGAGCCTATTATGAGCCATAAACAATGAACTTCTCCAACATCTAGCATATTTTTCATGAACCAGTGACTCTGTTCCAAACTTCCAATAGATTTCTTTCGTTCTATGAAATTTACTTTCAGTTAATGATTGGTTGGTCAGGATGAGATTAAAGAGAAATCTGATAGCTTGCTTTGGGAGCAGAAGGACAATGGAGTAGCACTAGAGGTTTGTTACATCTGCCCTTTCCTTCTGTATGTGATTGTGTATTTGTGTGTGAGTGTGGGTATCTGAGCATCAAGTCAACCTTTTTAAGTTCTAAAAGGTCATTGCCAAACTTGTTGCCTTTGATAAGCTTCATAAGTTATTATCTCTTAATCTTTGTCCGCTCATTGCTTGGTGGACAGGATGAAGAGAAAGAGAACCCAGATTTCATACTTCAGGAGCAAATGGATGATGAAGCAACAAATTTTGAATATACCATGGCAGATAATAATGAGTCTGTTTCTGCCTGCACACGAAATCAGGATCTGCTGCAGATCTCTTCATTCTGTGGCAGTCATGAGCTCCACTCCATAGATCTGGATTCTGTTGACAGCCATGTAATGACGAAAATAGATGATATTTCTCCTCGTGTATCGGGGTATTCAGATAATTTTAACCATGTGGATGTTCCTTTTAGTCGGGGGAATGCTGTATCTTCTGCTGGTGATGCTTGGCCAACGGTTAGTGTGCCAGGTTCGTATTATCATTCTATTTCTGTTAACCATGATTATGCTTCTGCCCATGACTTGTCACTTGGGCATCCAGAAGATAGTGACAAGCAACCAACCCACCAATTGATTGATTTGGAATGTAATTTGAGGGACGAAGACCCTGGGAGAAATTTTTTGCACAGACAATCCAATGGTGTGTCTTTCTTCAGTCCTTTCTGCAACCAATGCTGAAATGAGCTACTCTAATTTCTTGAAGGGGTGGAAACTAGTCAGTTTCCTGGGCATTTTAGGGAGCAGCTGTGTTCACCACTGCCTCTGGAGCTGGGGCAGAAGCGACTGAACGATCTTTACTTACTCCGGAACACACAGCAGAATATGTACCCCGGTAGAAATAGGTATTCTATCCCAAGGGAAGAACACTTCTTGCCCATCAAAATTCCTGATTTGGCTGTTAATAACACCCGGATGTCAGCACCTCCCCAATCTCATTTGAATGGTGGAGAGTTGTTAAGACGGGATTGGTTTTCTGATGAGCGTCGAGCCCATAGTGGCTGGTCTGGTGCAGAGGGTGCTGTCATTCCCAATAGCTTTGGAAATGGAAGCAATGTAGACCAGAGCCTATTTAGTGTTCTATCTGAGTGTAGTAAGTTACGCTCTGGTGCCCCCTATAATCCGATGTGCACTACTGAACAGTTCACTCAGTCACGGAACTATGACGGATTAGGTGGGGGCATACACACAACCAGCAACATGTTACCCCAGATAGCTAATCCATTTAATCACTTGAGTGGGCATGAAGCTGCTGCTGGCCTAAAGAATAACAATATGGAATGGATGAGTTTGCCATTTCAAGAGTCTGTTGTTCAGGACTCGATTTGTAACCATTCTTGAGGTCCTGGCATCATTAAGAATTTGTTTGCCATTGTTTGGACAAGTGACTTGCTAGTCTGTGGGTGGTTTGGAAGGGCAGGATAAGACAGGTGATGAATACAAGAGCCTTGTAAAAGGAGTTTTCGGCTATTGCTTTTGGTATGAAAAGCTACCCAAGGTTTGTTTGGGAGAGTGGAGAGGCCCATGGTATGACACTACGCAAGTACAAATACAAGTCCAATACCATGTATATATTTAGACTCTAGAGGAAGAGGGGGAATAGTTATTGAAGGGATAGAAAAAAAATATCAGGACCTCTTATTTGATAGGTAAGTCATGAAGCATATTTTAATTCGGTTGGGATTTTTTTTTCTCCCTTCTGTATTGCACATTCTGATATACTAAAGCTGCCACTGTGGAGATGCATATTCATTGGAGTATGTGACGGCTAATAATTGACAGAGATGACAGATTTGTTCGCTTTACAGATATCTGTTGTGCATTAAAAATGGAAAATGGTATCAACGTATAAAAAAAAATCGACAAGGTGTGAAATTTTAGCTGATTTTTAAAAGACAGAAAAGTAACTCCGTGTCCATTGGCATTGGGCTTTGACAAAAAGCTCAACCTTTTTTCATTTGTAATAGTATTGCATCCAGGTAAAACCCTAACCCTGTCAACAAACACGCACAAAAGATTTAGCTCCATAAATAATGCTCTACATTAGGGTTATCTGCATTTGCTACAAAGAAGAAATCACCAATTCCAAAACTACTCGGTCTTATGACACCACATCACAGATCGTAAATCTTGCCATTCACTTGAGATGACATTTTTAATTGGCAAATAATCCAAAGTACCCAAAACTAGTCATTTTTGTGGGTCCTTGGGTGCCAAAACGTCATCCAGGCCACCTCTAAAGATGAGGATCAATCCACCTGAGGGAGAGGTAGGAGGATTAAGGGCAGATTTATAGATGCCTAAGTCGCACACACACACAAGCAGACAATTTCAACAAAGAATGGGCAAATGAACCGACCAACAATAACTTTGAAGAGAGAGTAAGTGGCTTGACAGTGCTGAGCAAAGGGTGGGGTGGAGTTTGCTCCATGCATTGAGATTGTGGTGTTATGAGGTGAAGGAGAAGGAGCAAATAATAAATCCCACCACCAGTTCATTCGCAATCTGACATAAAAGTTATAAGCATTTTCTGGCAGAACATCCATTCCACATGGACAATCAGGCTAAGTATCCTAGTGATTTGCCCATTCTACAGGTAACATAATAGGTACACAGTAAGTCTACTTTGATAAAATTCACCATGTTGGCTGCATTAGCTTGCAAATGGTTCAAGCAGCACTAAGAAGATTCACAGCAACAAGTTGGAAACCAAAAGCCCCAGTGCTAAGGGTATCCCGGACCAAGAATACTCACATGTTATCGAATTTCAAATTTGTATAGAATCTATAGATTACAGAGGGGCATTTAGATTTACAACTCTAAAACAGGCAACAAATCAAGAACAATATTTTATTCAAAATCAAAATATAGCACCAAGTCTAGGCCACACCACCACGTGAATAAAACCATATAAACTTACCCACAATCAGGTGAATAAAACCATATGAACTTGTGAAACAAGCACTCTTTCAAATTGTGATACAAGTTGAGCATGATGTGGTAGCAGATGGTTGGATGTGCAATGATCTGATGGCACATTGAAAAACTTGTTTCTGCAAACTTTTAATGGCCATTCACCATGTTTCTGCAATAATTGAAGTGATTATGTGGATAGATGGAACATGTTTGCAACTGATACAGCTTGATGTTTAGCCTTGTAATTTGCGGCTTTTCTTTTCAGCAATGCCTGATTGAGTAAATCTCTGTCTAAGGACTTGTAGAACCTCTTCTACTCTTACGCTTCTTAGAGCTAACAAAACCATGGCATGGTAGAGCACATCTCCCATCTCCGAGGCAGTCCGTGATTTCTCCTCATTCTCCTCCAGTGTTCGGCATAACTCATCAGCCTCCTCCCTGCAAGAAAGATGTCAGACAAATATTGATACCAAGTTGGACTTTTTCTCCCATGTTACACTCCCACTCAGCAATTTAACAGTTGTCCAAGCTCCAAAGTGCATATTCACATGAGAACACACACACACACACACATGCACACAACATGCAGAAGCCCGAACATGGGATGGTGGAATAAAAACTACGTTGTCCTATCTGTTCCAAAAAAAAAAAAATGCCAGAATCACAATACCGGATTTTTGAGCACAGCAACTTTTGATCCTGCAATAACCGTTTTGTCCATGAGGATTTCAAATTTTGGGATCCTGATATTTCAGCTTTACGTAGCGAAATTGTGGATTCTAATGAATACAAAGTTGTCAGTGCAAGCTTATTTTCTTCAACCTACACAAAAAACATTGTTAAAGACCAATAGCCAATTTTGCGCAAAAGAGGAAAAAAAAAAGCTTCATAAAAAAAGATGAGAAACTGAAAAAAAAAAAAAAAAAAGAGCAGGAAAGGCATAGATTGGAAACCTGTGAAGAATTCAAGGTATCAAAGACTGATGTGTAATAGCAAGTCTCAGATCCAGTGTGACAAGTGGGACCATCAGGATTACCAAGGTATATTACCTGATAAATAGTTTCAAATCAATCACAAATTAAAGTAATAAAAACAAAACTATTCATGTTCATAGATCTTCACTTAAAATTGTCGAAACTTACAGAATCGCGATCACAATCGAGAAAGATGTCATGAACATTGATGAAATTCCTAGAGGTTTCCCCCTTTGTCCATAACATTGACCTTGACCTGCTATAGAAAGTTGCCTTCCGGGAGGAAATGGTGGTCGCAAGTGCATCCCTGTTAACAAAGCCTTGCATTAGGATAGCTCCTGTGTCAACATTTTGAGCAATTGCCACCGCCAAGCCTTTGTCATCCCATTTCACACTATCCAACAATGTATCAACCTGTAATGTACCATGTTAGATAGTTAACTTCCTAAATATGGAAAGACAACTTTTAAACATGAAGAGAGGAAAGAGCATCACAAGGTATGAAGTTTCTCTTTATGTTTTTCTCAACATCACCATTTTATAGCGTCTAAGTTGTGCAAAATCAAAACCACAATTGACCTTTATGTAATTTCCACACCCTAAATTCATGTTTAATGCAACATTATCAGTTTACCAACACCAAAATACTACAGTAAAGCAAAACTCATGCTAGAATGAAACAAATTGTTTCATACCAAACAAGTAAAACGTAAAATTTCTGGAATATGACATCAACACAAAGTAAATAGTCATAGTCTAGAGTAGTTAGCAGTGGTATAAGCACTCATTTCACACATGCTTTCATGTGAAACCATACTTTTTGTTCCCAAAAATTTATGGCCTTTTAACCAATAACCAAAGATGACATATTCATGAACTATGGTGCCCAAATGCAGCTCATGTCATCATTACATATTGATCATTGGGCTGTGATGAACGCCTTCAAGAGATATCCAACAGCGAGATGGAAACCACTAGTCGGAGGTCGGAGCTTTCAATCTCTTTGTTTCCTTTGCCAGACAATCAACGGTCCCCACAACCATGACTGTGGTAGACACCGGCCTATTTCTGGTTAAACCCATGAACGAAATGGATGATCAAGAAAAGAAATAAAGTAAATGATAAACTGGTTGGTTTCTCAAAATACTTATTCAAGATTAGTACGGCCAGTCCAAGGATCAAAATTTCATTTCGAAGTACCGTTTCGGTCAACTCAAAAATAGAAACGTTTCGGAAACATTTCGGAAACGCAATGGAAGCGCAGAAAAAATATGGAAACGCATAGAAACACAAATGCAATCCATTAATTTATAAAGATATGCTAAATAATTTATTAATTCAACATATTTATTAGGTTAACATCAATTTATACAAGAATAAATTTAAATTTGAGGGAAAAAAAGGCTTGACTTGAGGTGAAAGTCACTTAAATTAGTTTCAAACACTTAATTTTTATGAAATAAACACATTTTTACATAATATTAAGGTCTTATAATACACATGAAATGCTAATGAGTACATACTTACATGGTTACATCCATTCCCCTGTGGAGTGTCGAGCAGGCTCATACATCGGTGTAGGCTCTGGGTAGCTACTTAGAGAAACTCCATATGTGACATAAATATGATGACAATAGTTACTCCAAATCATATTATTACGGTAATATAATCCAATTAATAATACTATTTTATTATAATACTAATAATGAAGGGTATCAAATTAAATTAATGATACTTATGTATACTTAAAAATTAAATGTAATTGCAGTGGGTATTAAATGTAATTACAGTAGGTATTAAATATAATTACATTAGGGTATTAAATGTAATTGTTAATACTTATAACAAAAAAAAAAGCAAAAAACTTGCACAGCAGTGAGGTATTAAATATAATTACAGTATGTATTAAATATAATTATAATGGGTATTAAATATAATTATAGTAGGGTATTAAGTGTAATTATTTATTCTTATAACAAAAAAATTATAAAAGACAGAAGAGCAGTGGGAATTAAATGTAATTATAGTGGGATATTAAATATAATTATAGTGAGTATTAAATGTAATTACAGTGGGTATTAAATGTAATTATAATGGGGTATTAAATGTAATTATTCATAATGAACCGAATATATCATTGTTTTGTCGAAACGGTTCGAAACAATGCCGTTTCGACCGAAACGGTCCGAAACAGTACCGTTTCGACCGAAACACTGGAATTTTGTGATTCAACTACTGTTTCGTTTCGGAGTGTTGAAATTCCGAAACGTTTCGGACGTTTCGGACGTGTCGACACGACATTTTGATCCTTGGGCCAGTCATCATGAAACTAAACCGACTCAATATTCAATCTTCTCAACTCTCAAGAGCACGAACAAGAACAAACAGATAACATACTGAAACAGTATACAATTCAACAAAAAGAAAAATGCGTCTTTTGCACCACTAACAAGATTTGAGTTGGGAGAATGGATCACAAATTATTAAGTGCCAGTGGCTACAGTATGGATCCAATCTTTGAAGGACACCAAAAAGGAAATAGTAAGCTCAACTTCCAAAACACATTACATGGTTGACAGAAACTGGACAGAATAGAAAAATCTATATGTAAGGTCCATACATCACTAAAATAATAACCAAATGCATATTATTGGTCAATGATGGACACTTAGAGCAAGACTAATCTGATAAAAATGAAACCTTCGATCATTTTTTTTCTCCGTTGAGCTTGCTAAGCATAGAAAGTGGACAAAACAAATAAGTCGAGATACAAGGTTCAGATGTGGCAAAAATAAATCACATGCCTATTATTAGGCAATGATGGGCACTTTCGAGCAAGACTCGTGTTATAAATATGAAGCTCATCTCCCGTCTTTCCTCTCCGTCAGGCTCAGATGATTATCCCAACAAGAAACAAAGGACGAACAAGAAAAAATTGCATCCATACCTCCTATATGTGGACATAACTTCAAGGAGATTTCTTGCAGTTTCTGACATTTCCTTGACACGTTTTGTTAGGATCTGTCGATTAATAGAAGTAACAGGACGACTTGTTTTACTCAATTTCCCATGAGTTATATGCATAAATACATTGGTAAGATGGTGAGAGATAGTCTTTCCCTTCCCTAACAACCAGTGTTATCAGAACCGGACCGGACCGGCCGATCGGACCGGTTCAACCGTGAACCGGGACCCTAACCGGTTTGGTTCCTTAGTTGAACTGCTTAAGGAAGCGAACCGGTTAAAAACCTAAAAACCAAAAAACCGGCCGATTTTTGTTAAAAACCGTGAACCGCCGGTTTTATAAAAACCGGACGGTTTAATGCCTATTTAAAAATTAAATTACATAAATAAATTTTGTTGCCCTAAATCAGTAAATAGTTAATTTTTTTTAACCTTATTCTTAGAAAAATTATAAATGACACCCCTTCTTTTTCTTTATAATTTACTTGAACCTCTTTACTTTGCTTTAAAATACAATAACCCCCACTTTGTTACTTAATTTCATTAATTTTATGGCAAATTTTATGTAATTTATACATATTTTATATTTTTTAGCTAAATTATTAAATTTTATAATTATTATATATATATTTTTATTTTTTTATTATATGACCGGTCCGACCAGTTGACCCAACGGTTGAACCATTGACCCGGTCCCCTTGCCGGTTCGATTACCGGTCCGGTTCTGATAACATTGCTAACAACCCCTTCAAACCTAGTGTTTTGAAAAACGTGCCTACGTGAGAAGCGAAGTGAAGTGAAGGTAGCTCGCCTTGAACACCCCAGATAAAGCGAATGCGACTGAAGTGAGAAAAAACGAGAAAAATGAGTGTTGTTCGCTAAAGAGAAAGGCGAAAAAGCGAACGCCTTAGTCATGCGAGGCGATGTTGTTTTATTTTTATTATGGACAGTTGGATTGGGCAATTGGAAAAAAAATTATAAGATGATGATACACTGAATTATTGCCTTATCTCATAAATACAGCCCCAAACCCTATTTTTACTTTAATTTTGATCAAATTGCTTCGCTACTCTTATGCTGGACAGAGTTGACAGCCTCCTACACGATCGTTGGACAGACTGGAGAGACAAGATCGCTGATTGCTACTCTTTCCTCGTTGCTCCTTCCTCGTTGATCACAAGTTAGTCTCCTCTTTTTCTTCTCTCTTTTATTTCTCTTTATTTTTCTCTCTTCTGGTTCTGGTTTTGGTTCTTCTTCTCTTTTTTGGTTCTTTTTTTTTTTTTTGATTCTGTTATTTTGCTGTCCTGATTCTGCTTCTATTTTGCTATTTTTTTACCTACTTCTGTTTTGTTGTCCTGCTTCTATTCTGAATCTGTGTGCTGTCTTGATTCTGAATCTGTTTTGCTTCTGAATCTGAAATTGTTTACAACTGTTATGAAATGTGATTCAGTACATGTGTTTGCCCACGACTGTACATAAAAATAAATTTACAAAAACAACTGGTTTCTTTAATGATGAGGATTGATTTCTAAGTCCTTGAGATGGTTTATTTAGTTTCTTGAATTGTGTGTCTTATGTTTTTAAATATTAAAATTTGGGATATTATTAGTGTTTGTTTGAATTTAAATGTTTAAACTATGACTGTTATTAAGATTTGAAATATTATTAGTGCTTGTTTTAATTTAATGTTTATGGTTTTACTTGCATTTAAATATTTAATATATATAAAATTAGAACTTAGATGTTTAGAATTAATTAAACTAAAATATATATATTTTTTTAACTGTTCACTTCATTTTAGTAAAACATTTCGCTCTGCTTTTCGCCTAGGCTTTAAGAGCCTTGGTCACTTCGGTTCACTTTACGCCTTAAATAACACTGTTCAAACCTTCATCTCTACATCCCCTCCTTAGCACCCACTTGCAATCCTTATTCAACTACACTCATCACCTCCACCATAATCATATCAACATAAAATCCATTACCATCACCTTTTGTTCTGGTGGTGTCAAACGACAATATGATTTGTGCCACCACTTTGTTTCGCAAGTTCTTTTTTGACAATAGTAGTCCCTCCCAGATTCCATTGCTTAATAATATTACGATTAAATTTGTACAACCCAACCCGATAGTTCGATTCTAGATTTTCCAATTTCATTACCAACTAAGCAGTCGCCGAAGTCTACAAGCTCACTCAGAAGGTCATTTGTTTCAAACTAGATCAATGAAACAGTGGACTTTCTACCTCAATTAGCACCTTAACAAGGTAAAGTATATGTCATCTTCATGGGGTTTACACAAGGATTATTTTGGTGTTTGTCAGTGGATTGAGATTCTGGTTATGGTCACAAGGTTTGAACTCTATCTTTTGTTTATTGGGTCATTAATGAAGTGAAAATGAGTAGTAGGATAGTGGTACAATTCAGTGTTGTGAAAAGTGAGCCCAAGCGCTTGCCTAGAGGAGAAGAGAGGCGAAGTTTCCTTATGGCGCATTCCAAGCCAGGTGAAGCGACTGTAGGTGAAGGGAGGAAAAAGGGAGAATAGGCGAAGAAATGAACAAGCAAGAAAAGCAAACAAGCAGTCACCTTAGTTATTCTTTTGGATAGACGCCGAAGATATGTCCTCGGCGTCTATCCGGAAGAATCACTAAGGCGACCGTTTCTGATTCTTCTACTTGTTCTCCCCTTCTCTTTCTTTTGATTTTCTGGTTCTTCTTCTCCTTTTCCTCTTTTACTTCTTCCCCTCTTCTTCTCATACACAGAAGGTATGTTCTATTTTTTTTTCTTGCTGTGTTTCTAATTTTCTGATTCTTCTCCTCTTCTACTCCTTCCCATCTTATTCTTCTTCTTTCTAGAACTTTGTTACTGTGATGTTGATTGTGTTGGAACCGCCTCCTCTTTTGCTTCTTCCCCTCTTCTTCTGATTTCTGGAACTCTTATGTTAATTGTGTTGGAACCTCATTCTACCCTTCTACTCTGTTTATGTTTTATTTTGCTGTGTTTCTGATTTTTTGATTCTATTGGACTATTGTGTTAATTTGTGTTCAATCTAATTCTGCTGTGTTAATCTATTCTTAAACTGTTTTTAATCAGTTTAGACGCCGATTCTACTTCTATTT